ATCTGTGTGGTAAAGTATTCAAAAAAAAGAGTTCTCTTCAGACGCACATAAGAGTCCACACTGGAGAGAGACCATTCGTCTGTGATGATTGTGGTAGAAGGTTTCATAGAAAGGCGATTCTTAAAAGTCATTTGGAGGTCCATTCTGGGGAGAAGTCTTTTTCCTGTGATGTTTGTGGTTCAGGATTTAAAAGAAAGGAAACCCTTAAAAAACACATGTGGACCCACTCCACAGAGAAACCATTTGTTTGTAGTGTTTGCGGTAAAGGATTTTCAAGACAAAATCATCTCAAAAGTCACATGTGTGTTCACACAGGAGAAAAAACATTTATTTGTAGTGTTTGTAGTACAGGATTTGCACTACAGCAGAGTCTAAAAACTCACATGCTTGTTCACACCGGAGAGAAACCATTTATCTGCAGTTTCTGTAGCAAAGGGTTTTCCCTGCAAAGTCACCTGAAGAGTCACATGCGTGTTCACACAGGAGAAAAGCCGTTCGTTTGTAGTGTTTGCAGGAAAGGGTTTTCTCTACAGGAAAATCTGAAGAGACATATGCGTGTTCACACAGGAGAGAAACCGTTCACTTGTAGCTTTTGTAGCAAAGGATTTTCTCAACAAAATCACTTAGAGAGTCACATGCGTGTTCACACGGGCGATAAGCCCTTCATTTGTGGCGTATGCAGTCAGCGATTCTCGCGACAAGCATATTTGAAAAACCATATGGATGTTCACACTCAACAATTTAGTGATAGTTAATCTTCTACAGAATAAACACAGTTACCTTATATCAACACTATGCACCTTTCAATGTTTTTGTTATATTTAAGTCAAGATTTTGACACTAATTTAACAGTGCACATGTTTTACACTTTAGCCACATTCCCCAGTCACACTCACTGGAATATATATATGTATGTATATACATGTATGTATATATATATATATATACACACATGTAATTTAGTCATGGGCCAGGTGGGGGCGCCAAGCTCACATATTTGCATTTTATTTTCTTCATAATAAGGTCCACATGTATGAGTCTTTTCTTCCTTTTGTAATTATTTCTCATTTATTTGCATTTATTGCATCATTATGTCCTATTTCAATAAAAATTGATGATCAGATCACACAGGTAAAGTTTGGAGGATAAAAGGATACCAAAGACTTTTAGTGGAATAGTTTACAGAGGAAAAATGTATGATATTACAAAATCACCAAGACAGGCAACAATCTTTTTTTTAAATAACATTTATAGCTTTAAAAAGCACCTGAAACATGTCAATCAGTTTCAGCTGCCATCTTCCGGGTTGGGCTGCTGGTATCAGCTGCATTAAATGGGGCCGAACTGAACGCTAATCCTCTGCTGGACTAATGGTCCTCAACTTAATGAAACCTTCCCATGCAGAGTTACGGATGCTCATTTATTACAATAATTCTTTATGACTATGAAAATACACAGTTAAACCTGCAGCCTTTGTTTCCAACAGTAAATGAGAAAAAGATTTTAACAGATTCAAACTGTTTGGTTCTTTGTCGATTATCTGTTGCTTAAAACATCTGCCTCACATATTTCTCTACAGATAATGTGTAATAGATTGACAAACGGGCTAAATTGTATTGTTTAGTACTTCAATGTATTACTTTGTACAATAAAGCTGAACTGTTAAACATTGATAAGTAACAGTTTGTTTCATCTAATTACGTTTATGTGTGATTTTGGAGTTAGATATACTGAACATAAGAAAAAATCTGATAAAACTGATAAATTAAGAATGAGTGGTTATTCATTGTTCTCCATAAAACAAATGAAAACAAAAAAATGTCACCCTTTTTTCCATCTTAATCCAGCTGAGATGGCTCCCAAAAGTCCCTTTCACTTGAAGATTTTAGAAAAAAGAAACAGTAATCCATGCAGTGCTGAAAAATACACTGCATGGGTAATGATGGGTAAACTGCTTCAGCAATACATAAAACTTAGAGATTAAGTCATTTTAGATATATATCTAAAAAAAGAAAGAATGAAAGACTCCAATATTGTTTGTCAGTCATTTCAAAAAGTGGAAGTCATATGGTGTATAGAATCTTTACATATAATATATTTTAATTTCTGATACACTCAAAACTCTCAGAATAGTATATTATTACTTTGATACAGAAATATAGAATTTTAAACAAAAATTGGATAGTTCTTAAAGCTTTTACTTTCAGTACTTGCTTGGCTACAGGATTTACCGTAATACATGCAGCATGCCATGGAAGCATGCTGCAATGTTTCTTTTTTTTTTTTACCTATTGTTCCTTAGCCATCCATATTTTAAACAAAATAAAGTAGTTCTATTGTAGCTATACCATTGTTCCAAAATCCAATAACTGCAATGTTTGCCTGGTAACATTTGGTCTCTCAAACAATGTAAACAACGAAGAACCTAAAGTTGTTTAGGTAGAGGTTTGTCTCCCTTTAAGTTGAAGAAATACAAAAAAAAAAGAAAATAGGAAAAAGTAGGGGAGATAAACTTAAAACAGTTGATCGGGTTGAATGGGGTGAAATGAACAGAACGTTGGGTAAATAATGCTATACATAGTAATAATTAATCTTAAGAAACATTACAGTTACTAGAGATACATTGATGGTCTGACAAAAAGTGTCAGGTAAGTTATGGATGGGTTGAATACTGGATTAGTTCTTTCAGATACTGCTGCTCTCTTATTCTATATTGATTGCAGAACTTTGATAATTGAAAAAAAAAACCTAGTGTGAAATCAGAAATGCTTTGGATTACTATAGAGTTCCACTTTATGAGTGTCAGATTGTTGTGCTTGGAGCACAACTTAGGAAAAAGCAGCTGTCTAATGTTTAGTTATTTCTAAACAGTATTATCCTTGGGAATTTTTTTTTTATCCATAAAATCCAAATTTCCTTAAGATTTAGCCAAAGATGTATGTACCTATCAATGACTTTCTGTTATATATCAAGATTCTCAGTAGAATGCATTCTAAAATGGCCTCAAATTTAGAATATAATCAAGAATGTAGTTTAAAAGCTAAACCCAAACGTTTTGTTTTATTTCATATTTATTTATAATTTCATTTTTCTTTCTTTTAGTATACATTCTAACTGCACTTTTTTGTGTGAAAATGAACCGATCATTATTGTTCTTGTTTTCAGACAACTCTTCTTCTTCTTCTTATGGGATTTTATGGCGGTTGGCAGACTTGTGAATTGTGCATTACCGCCACCAACTGATATGGAGTAAAGCAAGATAACAGGAAAATATTCACCCCCCCCCCAAAAAAAAAAAAAAAAAAAAAAAAAAAAAAACCTGTGTAACTTAAACCAACATAATACTAAATCACATTTGCCCATATAATTTTAATTTACTCTAGGTCATCTTAACTCTGCCAGTTTCTGATGGTCCCATCGGTCCTCCCATCATACTTCCAACCATCTCCCAGTTCAAATCTTTAATGTCCAGATATTTTTCTGCAGCCTTCACTATTATTTTGATTTTTTCCGTTTTTTTTGTTGTCTGTGCAGTACAATTAATTACTTCTACCATGAAAAGAACAAAATTTGTCTTTTTAACAATAAGTGAGTCTTCATTAATTTTTGGAGATTTCTCTAGAGGTTTGGAATTTGCTGTGTGTTGAACTGTAGGTTTGGGTTTTTCTGACTGAGATGGGATCCTTTTTGCAGCTTCAGCGTAGGTTATTCCGAGCTCAAATTTCATTTTTTTAATTTCCTCAGACCTTTTGCTTGCTTCACAGCCGCGATAGGCAGCAGTATGTTCTCCACCACAATTACAGCATTTTATTTTAGCTTCTTTTCCACATTTTCCGTACTCATGTTCTCCTGCACACCTTCCACACCTCTGTTTCCCTTTACAAACTGCTGCAACGTGACCGAATTTTTGGCATTTGAAACATCTCAATGGTGGAGGATTGTAGATTTTGACATTATAGCTTATGTAACCGATGAATACTTTGCTTGGTAATTGCTCTTCTTCGAATTTAATTAGCACAGATAAACTGTCAGATCTTTCTCCGTTTCTTGTTGTTTTTAACCGTTTTACTTCTTTTACTTTTGCACCGCTTATGTTTTCCAGAATCTCTTTTTCAGAAATTTTTAGAGGAACTCCTCCAATGACTCCCCTGCTGATCTTTTTGTTCTCCATTAGGCTGCACTGAACTCTTATCCCGTCAATTTTGTTGATACGTATTGCTTTGCCTTGCTGGGCGCTGTCTCTGCAGTTAATTAGCAGGTCTCCACTGTACAGAATTCTGGCACCTTTGACTTCTCCGACAAGTTTATTGATGGTTTTTGTTAAGTGAACCGGATTCCAATTTGTAAAAGAGTCTGCCTGATTAACGACTTTGAATATGACTTTGAATTCATTTTGTTGTGCTGTGGAATGTATGGAATGATCATCACTGGATTGTTCTGAACTAGATTCCCCTTGAACTGATCTCTGTTTTTTCCGCTTTTTCTCATTTTTTGATGTTGCTATTTTCCAACCTTCATTGTCACTATTTCCCTCTTCCATCCCACAAGAATCGCTTCCTGTTTCCTCACTACTCACGGCCCAAGACATTTCTCCATAAGCAGCTTCAAAACACGCGCCATGCACCAAACGACCATCCACCGAGCCTCAAAAACCTTTTCAGACAACTCTCTAGAATGCTTTTACTTTAAAGTGTGTGCTACATAGGTAAAGACGGAAAAGCTTAGCGGTTTCCGGGATGATGCGGGATTTTCAAAGTAATAGGAAATCACGTTGAAGAATTACTTAGGATTCATATTACCTAGATAATGCAAATCCAGGGGTTTCATTGAAAAAGGGAGCTATGTTGGTTTTCTTTAACTTGCAAATAAAGATCGTTTTAATAAGTAGATATCGATTTAATTAGTTGTGTTGACTTATTCTGAAAAGTTCTTGTTTTCCAAAAAGGAAGTTGTAATTTTGCGTAAGAGCTCTTCTTCTCGCCCATTGGTTAATGGAGGCAACAACCGGATGTATCAATGTTAACCAGCCCTCAGCGAAAAATAACGTAAACTGTTTTAGACCAAAGATTTAACTATAAATATCCTGACATTCTCCTTGTAGATGTTTATTTCTGCAGATGTGATAAGTCCTGTCTAAAATTTGCTTTAAAGAATTCCATCGACCTTTGTTTGCAACATGAATGGACTTTTAGCTAATTCAGCTAGCAGGAGAGATTTATTGGGGGTTCTGACGTTGAAGCATTAAAAAAAAAACATGGTTTAGGGCTACAGGAAGAGTCCAGGTTCCAGGTGTATGATACTATCTGTAATCTCTTGAGTGGATACAGAAGGTATAAGCTATTCAGGTTTCCTATTCTGCTTTATTAAATCAGAGCATGTCTTGCGTAAGTTTTCAGTTTTAGGCAGCAGAAACAAACAAGGGTTGTAGAAAAGACTTTTAAGTGAATCAAGAATGTCTGAAACGATGAAGATTGAAGCGGGCGACTCCGGGAGGCTCAGTATGTTGTCTCCCATCCCTGCAGCATCCTCATCAGAACTGGAAGAGGGAAAGGGCAAGACAGATCTCAGTAAGTGGCTCATGTTTGTTTGTATAAGAACACATCACAAAACCCCTCCCACACACATTGATTGCTTCTCACTAGAGCTCTAAAGATGGTGATAATGCACACTCCTGTGTTGTGAATCTCCTGATCCTAATTAATTTATATTAAACTGACATGATTTAAAACTCCAAATAAAACAATTGTTAAGTTAAGTATATTCACATTGTATTTTGTAGTGTTATTGCAGAGCCCTAAGTTAATTAGCACTTGTATGTGCATTTTTGATTTCCTATATAGCAATAAATCTTTGCATCCTGAATGTTAATTTGCATGTAATAAGTCTGTAATAGCCATAGATAAAATATTGCACGTCAAAAATAAATACAAAATTATAAAATTGTGCACACATTTGTCTTTCATATTTAACAAATAATGTTTATTTTATAGTACAACCATATATGTTTTCCTTGCCATAAAGTTCTTACTTCAGAATCCGTAGAAACAGTGTTATCCCAGTGAACAGGTGCACTTTAGGATTTGTTATCGCAGGCCTTTTTAAACTCTTTTCATGAGCTCTGCATTTTTGTTTGTGTTGATGCACAGTTGGAAATATGGAATGCGACAAGATGTTAAATTATTCTCCTCTTTCATGTCAATGCAATAGAGGTTTCTGGAATGTTCTGCTTCTGCAGGTCGAAATAATACCAACTTGGATAATAATGCTAACTTGAAGCTGAGAAATCAAACATTTCTTCAAAAGAATCAGCTATAGGAAGAAAAAAGAGTTAACTAACAGCAAGGGTATTTGGTTTTGTATGTTTAAACTTTAAAAAAAATATTTCATGATCTAAAAATAATGCACTGATTTGCAAACCTTTTTTTTAATTTTTTTTTTGCTTTGGATTAGTCATTGCATTTTATTTGTGTAAAATATTGATATGGTTGAAACCTAAATCTTCCTAAAAGTGAAAATAAAATTGGATTTTAAGCAAGACACAATTTGGATTTTTAGATGGGCTGTTTTCTCTGGTCTAATATTCAGTCAAAGTATATTTGGATCTGTTCTGATCACTGTCAGGTATTCTGCAATGTATAGCATTGAATAGAATATTCTCCTTTGTCATTGTACTGGGAGGTACAAAGAAAAATTACAGGTGCTAAGAGTGAGCTACTATATACCACTGTAAAAACAGTTATAAAAGCATTTAAGAAAACATTTAATATATTTTCCTTTAATTTTTCTTTTATTTATTTGATTTAAGTGAAATATATATTAAGCCTTGTAATATGTAATTTATGTATTTATGTATGTATATATGGTTGAATGATATGATTATCCCTATGTGCTTCAGTGATTTCAGACTATCAGATGTCAGTGATCAAAGAAGAAGTCTTCCCAGACTGGAGCTCGAGTTTGGACAACCGTTACCCAGAGCCCCCCCCCATCAAATTGGAAGAGGAAGAACAGTGGATCAGTCAGAAGGAAGAGCAGCTTGCTGTGAAGAGGGAAGATGGGGAGAAACCTCAGATAGCAGAGCTTCACCAAATAAAAACTGAGGACAAAGAGACAGAAAATTTAACCAGCAGCTCAACTGAACAGACACAACTAGTTGAGGAGGACTGTGGGGCACCAGAACCAAACTATAACCTTGATCCTACATATTCTTCTCAAAAGAGCAAGCTAAAGGTCCATAGAAAATGTAAAAATCCTAAACTGCACTCAAAAGTCAAAGCTCAGATCGGAGTCAACACAGGAGAGAAGCTGTTTGGATGCAATATCGGTGGGGAAAGATTTAAACGGAAGGCTTATGTGAAGTTACATATACTTGCACACATAGAAAATGAGGAACATGGATGTTATCTTTGTGGTAAAGTATTTAAAAAAAAGAGTTACCTTCAGATCCACATGAGACTCCATACTGGAGAGAGACCGTTTGCTTGTGTTGATTGTGGGAGAAGGTTTCATCGAAAGACCATTCTCAAAAACCACCTGGCCGTCCATTCAGGAGAAAAACCATTTTCTTGTGACATTTGTGATAAAAGATTTAAGAGAGAGAAATCTCTAAAAAGCCATGTATGGTTGATCCATACCGCAAAGAAGCAGTTTTCTTGTACTATTTGCAGTAAAAGATTTTTACAGGAAGAACACCTAAAGACTCACATGCGTGTTCACACAGGAGAGAAGCCTTTTATTTGTAACGTTTGCAGTAAAGAGTTTTCGCGACAAGATCACCTAAAGAGTCACATTCTTGTTCACACAGGAGAGAAACAATTTATATGTGGGGTTTGTAGTAAGAAATTTACGCTAAAACAGAATTTAAAGATTCACATGCGTGTTCACTCAGGAGAGAAACCCTTTATTTGTTCAATTTGCGGTAAAGCCTTTTCACAACAAAACCGCCTCAAAAGTCACATGAGCATTCACACAGGAGAGAAACCGTTTGTCTGTGGTGTCTGTAAAAAAGAGTTTTCACAGCAGCGGAATCTAAAGATCCACATGCATATCCACACGGGGGAGCAGCCGTTTCTCTGTAGCGTCTGTGGCAAAGGGTTTTCACTCCAAAGGAATCTAAAGATCCACATTCGCATTCACACTGGAGAGAAACCATTTGTTTGTAGTTTTTGTGGTAAAGGCTTCTCACGACAAGACTATTTGAAAAGTCACATGCGTGTTCACACAGGAGAGAAACCATTTGTTTGTGGTGTTTGTAATAAAGCATTCACACAACAACAGAATCTGAAAAGGCATATGGAAGCTCACAAAGTATGATTTATCTTTCTAGGTTCGTTCTAATAAATTAAGCAGCTATTAGATTGCAATTTTTATATAGTAATAGATGTATCTTAAAAATCATGTGGAACAGTGTTTTTAGTTTTAGGGCTGGGTGATATAGCCTAAAGTCAATGTCGTGATATATTCAGCAGTTTGCTTCACTTGATAAGTGGATGATATGACCTCCACAGGAGAAAAACACTACAGTCATATTCATCTGAGCTTGGGAGCTTTAATGGAAACCTTTTTCGTCTCGCTCTCCTAGTTGATTGGCTGGAAAATAATCTTGAGGGTGCGGTTTTAATTTTTTTATTGATGTATTGCACATTCAGACTAGACTGGATTAAAGATCAAATCTGCACAGCTTACCCTTAAAGCGTAACAGATAGAGGATTCCACCCAAACACCAGTCGTCCTTTAGATGTTTAGGTCACATCTGGTCGGTACCACATAGCCTCGATTTAGTCCAGAAATAGTTGTTGAAAACTGGCTTGGTTTGGTCCTATTTTGTCACTCTTTAGTCCAATAATAGACATTGAAAAAACTTTGCAAACCCAGTTTTCAATGTCTTTTCAACGATCTGAAAATTACAGCTTTCACCTTTCATTTTTCAACCAAATGTAGACGTTAGGAAATCATATTGTCTTTTGAATGACTTTTAACCCAATCTTTGCTCGGTGGCTTTTGATTTTAAAAAGTAAAGTAGAAACTATGTTTAAAGACAAGAAAAACACTTGTATTTTCCCCCAAAGAGGATGTCTTGTACCTCTCCTCCTGTCAGACCCATAACATTGTTGCTGAAATGCTGTGTAACTAAAATAGACCTGGGGTCTATCTCAGTTTGAGCTACGAAAGCCTCTTGCAGAAAATCATGTTGGGTGTGTTTAGCCCCATTGACTTTCATTGAGCGCTAAATGACATGATGTCTTACGACACATGGATACTAACTGAAATTTCGTGATTAGTCTTGAGCATATTCAGTATCACCTCGTACGTATGTCCTGATTCAAAATATTCCTGGATAACGGTAGCTATGTTTGGGGCGCCGACAATATCCATTTTTTCAAAAGCCGCAGCAGGCAGAATGACTTCCGGTTCAAGGGTCAAACGGCGCCGTCGTCCAATCAGCGATGTCTCATGTTTCCCACTGGTACCTACCTTTTCCGGTAGGTTAATGTAATTGTGTTTTCCTTAATGTAGTTGCACTTTGCTTTATGTAGTTTTGTTTTTCTTAATGTAGTTGCACTTTGCTTTATGTAGTTTTGTTTTCCTTAATGTAGTTGCGCTTTGCTTTATGTAGTTTTGTTTTTCTTAATGTAGTTGCGCTTTGCTTTATGTAGTTCTGTTTTTCTTAATGTAGTTGCACTTTGCTTTATGTAGTTTTGTTTTCCTTAATGTAGTTGCGCTTTGCTTTATGTAGTTTTGTTTTTCTTAATGTAGTTGCGCTTTGCTTTATGTAGTTTTGTTTTTCTTAATGTAGTTGCGCTTTGCTTTATGTAGTTGCATTTTCTTAATGTAGTTGCGGTTTTAGATTTGTAGTTGCAGTTTGCACTTCAGGGCCACCGTAGCTATGCCTTGAGATCACTTGAAGGGCATGCATTCTATATTTTCCTATCCTCTCAAACCCATTGCTTCTCTCCTTCATTTAAAAATTCCCCATAATCCTTTGCTGCATCACTCTCCCTGTGACAAAAACAAGAATCTCATTCCCGAGCCCTTTTCAAGATACATACACAAGTCAACAAGCTGGAGATAAACACCTGGTATCGATATCAGCCCGACCTCACTTAGTGGAATTATAATGTTTGTGGTCTGATACCGATCATAATGCCAGCATAATATAATAAATAATACTGTCAAACTGGTTTACCAAAATCCATTAAATGTATTTCAATAAAAAAGACAAATCTACTTGAAGTTTATTATTTTGACAATGTGAAGTTCTAAGTATCAACTCTGTTTCTTAATTACTGTAAACAATTTCAGTTCAGGTAATTAAGGTTCAATGTGTGTAATAAGATTATTAATTATTGTGAGTGCCAGTGGTGGTATGCCCCTCGTCTCATTGACGGTTTCAGCTCTGTACAGTTTCACTTAAAAGGAATTTACGTGAAATGACCAAACAATACATCAATTCAAAACACGAATAAGTGTTATTTATGCAAAAATGTCTTGTATATGTTTTTTTTTTTTTCATGTAAGAGAATCATAAACTGTCGAAAAGACACTTGTAAAGTATATATTTTTTATTGTCTTACCGGCAAGAATGATGGTAAGGATTTTAAAGTGCAAAATTGCCGACTTATGATGGACTCTTTTTTTCTTGTTTTTTTGAGAGATCTTAGAAAGTGAGAACAGAGAAGGAATTATTTTGGAAACAATATATTATTTTTCTCAAGGCACTAATAAATTATCAACAGCGGTATTTATTATATTGTATGATGCATGTGTATCAGCACTACTGATTTAGGCTCTTATCAAATACAGCTTGCCCCAGCTGTGTGCATTTCAGAAAACTTCAAGAATGATTAATATTGGCTGTTAAAATAGTAAAATTATATTTAACCTTCATGGGGAAAAAAGGACATTGTTGATCGTGCAGTACTGACCGTTAAGATAGGCGATATCAAAACTGTTCTATAAGACATTGTTAACCAACAAAAAATAGGTTTTAAGTACAAACATGAAAAATGGAAAAAAAACATTTGCTCATTTTGGGTCCAGTAGGTTGAACTTAACAGGACATACTTGCATATACCCACCTACTACGCATATACATCATTAATCCATTTAACAAATCTTATCTTGAACATAAATATAATTAACTCATCTCACAGGCTTCTCCTTAGTGCATTTCTGCATAGTGAGCTGCTAAGCAGAAAACTTACCGGTACTGTTAAGCTGAAAATAGTAAGGGCTATCACACTGTTGCTAAACAAGAACATTGTGGTTACCCATCACTAAGTACCTGTTTTTTAGACTGCTCTGTTTTTTTGTTATTGTTTTTAAATTTCTGTTTATTCTTTAGGTATCTAAATTGATGTCATTTAACAAAGAAATATTCTTTATAAAATGGAGAACCCTGAGCATTCTCTTCATCGGACTGCAATACGACAAAAGTGTCTTCTGTCGAAGGTGTCTCCAGATCTAGAATGGAAATCTTCAGGCGATCCTTCCTGCCTGCCTGCATCAGTATCTAAAGAATAATTGAAGAAACCCCAATAAGAGTTACAACAATATTTGATTTCCCTTTGGGGTTAATAAAGTTTTTGAACCGAACTGAAAAATGTGACACATTGTAGCTCATTTCGTTGGGAGTTCAACAACACTATAAAGCTGGTCTGATCCCACATAAAACTGGCACCAGTGAAATTTGTCTTTTGAATATGATGTAAATTACTATTATTTTAATTTATTTTTTGTTATTTTGTTATTCCACAAAATGTAGCTAAAAGGCTTCAGCTGATCCAAAATGCTGCAGCCAGAGTTCTGATGAAAATTAACAATAGAGATCACATTACTCCTATCCTGCCTTCGCTTTATTGGCCTCCAAAATAGAATTTAAAATCCTCCTTCTCACAAAGCCTTAAATAACCAAGCTCCTTCTCATATCAGAGATATGATTGCACCTTATATTCCTAACCAGAGATGGGAAGTAACGAAGTACAAATACTTCGTTACTGTACTCAAGTAGATTTTTCTGATATTTTTACTTTACTTTACTACTTATTTTTATGGCGACTTTTTACTTCTACTCCTTACATTTTTACACAAATATCTGTACTTTCTACTCCTTACATTTTAAAAAATTGGCTCGTTACTTTAGTTTTGAATCATTTCAATGGAGTTACCGTTATTATTTTTCACGTCATCAATACCAAAATCAATCTAATTGGATGGGAATCTACGTTGCATTTGACGCACCACTACAAGATGAATCGACAGATTCGGCGGTATTCATTCGCGGCAAATCATTGCAGCTTGGTGGCGGCGGCGTTAGCATAGTAGCATGGACGACGAGATGATTGAAAATGAACACAACGGAGATCTAGTCCTATTGGCAGACATCCATTTAAAATGTAGGCAACGGCATGAAAAAAGTGGTTTCTACTTTTACTTTTATGCTTTAAGTAAATTTACAAGCCTGTACTTTGTTACTTTTACTTGAGTAAAGAAGTTTAATCAGTACTTCCACTTTTACCAGAGTATTTTTTAACCCAAGTATCTGTACTTTTACTCAAGTACGTAAAGGGAGTACTTTTGCCATCTCTGTTCCTAACATGGCACTAGAATTTCTAAAAGAAAAGTGTTAGTCAGATCTTTTAGTTACCTGATTTAATCCATGAGGCAGACATCCTTTCTACTATTAAGGGTAGGTTTAAAACTTTCTTTTTTGATAAAGTTTATAGTTAGAGTGGTTCTGGTTATCCAATCTCTATAGTTATTATTCCTCAGGAAACCTATGCAGGTGTTTTGAGTGAATTAGCTGATTAGGTTGGGATACATTGAGTTTTCCTTAATTAACTTTTGTTTTCACAGTATTTGGGTTTTTTTTTATTATCTGAAAGCTATAATCTTTAAAATTACTGAAATTAATGACTTGGAATACATCGCTATGTGGTTCTTTATAATGTATGAGTTTCCCTTTCTTAAATGATCTTAAAGACAAAAATCTACAGGGGACAAATGTAATGTAGGAGCCTACTTAGGGCTGAAAGTTGAAGTCTGTACAGGAGTTAGAAACTACTGATGCTCTCTCAGGAGGCCCACTACTGTATGTGACCCTTTCAGTTTTTACATTTTAGGACAGACGTCTGTGGGTTTCATATTTTTCCATTATATAAAGTAAAATATTTGAAAGTAAGTTTAATGTGTTGGACATTAACTATTGGTACCATATTCATGGGACAGAAACACGATTCTAAGCATCACCTCCTCCCCAGGGATAACATTTGGATTTATGTAAAGAAAATCTGGACCTGAAAAAAAAATGAATTCCCCCAAAATTGAACAAAATGATTAGTTTAAGTTTGTAGTCCAACCGTTTCTTTAAGTGCTGTTAATTTAACACTGGAATGTACTTTTCTCTATTTCTTTTTGTATGTCCTGTTTAAGTACAGGAAATCATATTTGTGATTCTTTTAAATTTTATATATATAAGCTCGTTTTGTGCCGAACTTCCTGTGTTTTGAAATATGATCAAAATAATTAAATCATTTATGTTATCAATTCTCACCTAGATCCTATACAATACCAAACATAACATCCTTGACAATTTACAGAGTTGTGGTTTATTATACTTTGATATTTTATCATTTTTAGTTACATGCATCTCCTTTTAAGCTGACTGTATGACCACGTGTGTTTGGCAATCATGAGGATCCACTGAAATAGTTTTAAATGTTATTGATATTGTAGCTTTGTTTGTTCATGGTATTGATGGGCAGGTGTTCTACAGTTAGGTGTATTTTATCTTTGCATTGTTCACCATATATCCTTTTAAATTTTGTTCTTTTTAGTGAAGCAGCAGATGAAAGATAGCTTGGTGCATTAAAAGGAATTAACATATACTGTCCCTGCAGAATAAATTTAGAAATTAAATAACATATTTAGGAACAAATGCGTGGCTTATTTACTAGATATTGTGTTTTTGAGTATAAGGGATGTAGAGCAATGCTTTTTGGATATAGAAAAATGTGTGCTGTAATAGCACCATCTAGTGTCCGTTTGATCTAACTATATCCGTGAATCTTTTTTTTTTGCAAAAACTTTTTTTCCTCAATTGAAGACATGATCATGATGCTGCAGTCTGCCAGTCTGGTTGCACTTATGTAGCACAGTTCTCAATCACAGGAATAAAGGTGCATAATCTGGGTTTAGAAAAAAAAAAAAACATTCATTGCAGGGATTAATTTCAATCATTTTGATTTCCATCTCCATAGTACAGACAGGGACTGATATTTAAAGTGTCCCTCAGTAGGTCTGTACTGAGAGAAAGGGTCATTTTTTTTCATTTGTCCTCCTGATTTAAGAAAAGAATACAGCTGTCCCACAATGGGGCACTTTGTGGGAAAGTATTTAAAATCACCTACACACTTAATTAAATGATATGAATAAAAAAGTAATCTAATATTAAGCTTGAAATAGAGAAATCATTTATTAAAAAGAGAAAAAATACATCAAAATACATGTTTTATTGTTAATGAGGCCTATTCAGTAAAAATGCACTATTCTAGTTAAATAGAAAAGAGCAGCTGATCCACAGAACAATGTAAAAAATAAAAATAAAAATCTATATAATATATATGATGGTGCAAACAAACACTCACCCTTGCATCTGAGAGACTGAAAATCAAGGGGCCTCAAATCTGGCCCCTACAATCCAGTGCACTGCATCTTCTAGATGTGTCTCTAATTTTACCTGAGTCAAATGATCAGGTAATTAGTGGGACTCTGGTGACCTTCGCTCGATTCGGATTCATCAGCCTGTAGCCCCCAGCTCCTCTTCCTTCTCATTTTATCAGGGTCACCTTTAAGATCTCTGTCACTGTAGGAAAGGATGTCATTATGGGATGAACGTGCATGTATATGAACCCTGTCAAACCTTGAGATTTAATTTTCTTACAAAGGAATAAAAAAAAAAAAAAAAAAAAAAAAAAAAAGCAAGTTAGAAAATTTTATTCAGTGGCTGAATCTCTACATTATAGAAACCAAAACATAAAGATGTTTACATTAAAATATGTGATTGTGTGATTCCTTATGGCTCCTTAGGTAGGAACGTCAGGAATTCCTGTTAGATGAACTATTGATAGGAAGCATACGGGCCCCGGAGGGTTTAGGACTAAAGATGGAATGGCCTGGTTGATACTGAATAGGGTTAAATCGTCAAATTGATTTTCTGCTATTAAATAGAGGTTGTGAGTGCTGCATTGATGGCTAATTGTGTAGTTCTATCTTGGTTTGTATCTTTTTTTTGCTGCTGTAACTCTGCATTTTCTCTTTTGTAGACAAATAAAGAAATGCTGTTCTATCTTATTATATTCTTTTTCATTACAAGTAAAATTTTCTCCTGTTGGATTTTTTTTCAGGGTGTCAGAATAGAAGGGACTAAATTTATATTGTTTCGGTTTTATTGTTGAGAGTTTTCAAATAAATAAAAACGTTTTTTTTTTTTTTTTTTAAATGAATCATTTTTCTGTCCATTTCAGTTTCTTGAATGATAAATCAAGAAATCCAGGTAACTTTGACACAAGGCTGTAGAGTATTTCAGCCATGAACGTGTTGCACTATATTGTGAGCATTTTTCTTGGTGATATTAAGTTTTTCATTAGAGAATAAGTCTCTGCAGGTTGATGTGTCAGCACAGCAGAGGCTGCAGCAGAAAATCTGTGCAGATTAAAACATTTGATGAGATACCCGTCTAACTCCCCGCTGGTCCAGTATTTACAGTCACAGTTATTTCAGATCAAACCTACTGGAATACAGCTCACAATGTTTACTAGGTTTACTGTAACTCACAGACGGCATGAGGATGCATGCTTTTTTATTGCTCTTACAGATGAAAATCTAAAAAAACAAAAAACAGGGCAAGTATTTCTATTATTCAGCCCCTCTGGCTTGATATGTTACTAAACCACGTTTGAATGCAGTGATAGCTGCAAGCATTTTTGGGTTTATATTTACCAGAAATAGAGAGTCTTATTACAGCTTGATGAAGTCTGTGCTTTGCTTGAGCCATTCTTGTTGTATATATTTTCAATGCACCTTTCAAAACTCATAATTTTTATTAGATACGTGTTTGATCATTTTACTTTTGAGGTTTTCAAAATCAAAATGACCCATTTTCCTTTGTAGGTGTGTAAAGCCATCTTTTTAAAACTTTTTTTTAGAGAGAAAATCTGTGGATATTTTGTTTATAATATTCTCCAATAAAATTGTCATCAAAGGAAGGGGATGAGTCTGTAAAGCTAACTGAATTCTGATATCTATAAAAACAAAGTACGAGTTAAAGTTAGCCCATTTGTCCCCTGCAGGATTTTTTATTTTTTTTGCTGCTCCTCATTGTTCTCATAATGGTATTGTTTTTTATTTTTATTTACTTTTTTTTTCTTTGTAGTGAGTGCAATTGATCATTCATGGTTATGATCTTAATTCAGAAACCTCCCTGGAATGGTGATAAAACTCTCTGTAGGGTTACGGCTGAAACAACAAAACTCTTTCCATGACGGCAAGAATAAAACCCCTTTTTTATCCTGATTTATTTTAATATTATTATTAGAATGTTAATATTAAACAGTTTATACTTTGATGCAAACTATCTGCACCTTACAACACATTTAGACAGGCATCGCCATCCACGGACTCTGATCTTCCAGCTCCTGCAGTGATGATGCACCTGCCTGCAGAGATTTACTCCTCTGAAATATTCAGAACACACAGAAATGTTTGAGAAGCCACCTGAACACATTTACACTAACCCCAGCTCTCTGCAGCTGTCAGTGACGCTGTGGCTGCAGGAGGGGTTCAATAAACAAGCTATGCAGAGTAAAAGCCTGGAGAACAGCAATAATCTCATGTTAAAAGATCTGTGCTTGATAGGATATAGGGTATAGTTTCTAGATTTATACAAGGTAACATTAAATTATGTGCTTTTCATTCCTCTCATATCAGCTCTCTGCCTCTTCTTGCCGCTTAAATTATCCCTATCAGCTGAGGTCAGAGTTCATGTCGTTTTTCAATCCCTTTGCCTCCTGGTTACAGCTCATGTCTCTCCTCTTGTGGGATTCAAACAGAACCTCTCTGAAGCTTGAGCTTCAGCAGTAGGAAACACATTTTTTGAGACATTAAAAAACCCCAAAATGCTCTAAAATATTTCCAACACAGCGATCTGTAACCACTGCTTCTCCAGCCATCCAATCTGGGTTTAATGTCTGAGGAGGGTTTCAAGGTTTGATGGTTAGAAGCTACAGCAAAATGTAGCACAATTTCTCACCACAGTGATTTTATTTTATTCCAAAGAAAAAAAAAATCAAACTGGTCCAAAGTTTTGAGTGTTTAAGACAGTTAACCCTCTGATTTGGCTAGAAATGTTATTGTTGGGTGCCATTGTCCATTCTTTAGGCTTTTTTTGGGGGGGGTCTGTTGTGAATTAAACATAGAAGATAAAGCAGATGATGGCCCGGATATCATGAAAAAAAAAAAAAAAAAAGCAAACGACTGGTTAAGTGACTGGGTCAAATTATCTTTACTACATCCATAATGTTCTGTTCTGCACGAGCAATCATTATATAATCATAAGAACCACAAAAAAAGAGAAACTTAATCATCTTGACTATGAACTGTAAAGATTAGCTCCCAAATCTGGAAAAGCCTGATTATAAACATGAATGTGCTATGCTGCAGTAACAGCCTGGCCTGAAGCTGCCCTCCCAGCAATGACTAACCCTGTTGTTCTCCTTAAATGTTCACATGGACGTTCACATCCAATTAAGCAATAAGCAACGCCACAAGCCTAAAATCTCACAGAAAACAGTCATGAAAACTGTCATACCCGATTTTTTTCCTCCATTTCAGCATCGATTGTTGTTTGAGCATCGATTAAAAACATGAAAGTTTTCTCTTGTTCCCGGAAAATGGTGACTGTGCAGTTGGGTGGAAAAAGTGGATCTAAAAGCCGATGTTCCCCCTCCGAGAGCTGAACGCACACAAAGCCAGAGACGCTAAGAGTGGGTTTCTTGTCTGTTTCTTTCTCAGGAGACGATGGAGACAAAACGGGAGTGTTAACCTGAGCACAGTTTTGTGTTTTTGTGACCCAGAAAAGAAATGAAAAAAAAAAAATAATTCACTTGAATTCAACACAGTTTATTTTCTCTTGACATCTTTTCAAGTATGAAAATAACACAATCTGAAATAAATACCAATAAATAATACAATTTTTTGTCACTATAACCATCTTCCTCTCATTCCTAACTGGAATGACAGCATTTAAAATACGCTGCTCATTTTAAAACATCTGGACTTTAAATCTAAACATTTTTTGGTGATGTTTAAGAACCTTTGATACATATAAATAATTTATACAGTGGGAGAAACAATTTTTTTGAAACTCTTTCTATGTCAGTTTTTAGCTCGAAATGGAATAAATAGAAAAGGTCTGAAGGTTAATGTAAGATGTTTTTGTTTGTAAGATGTTTTTTTTTTTTTTACCAGGGAGGAAGATGATGATATGAAAGGTGATAGATGAGCTCTGAGCTACACAGAAGGAGCTGGAAGATGAGCTGGGATCCCAGCCACCAAGAACAGCACTGATAAAGCATCCCTGTAGCCTCCTGTTCGATAAGGCCCATGAGTTCGCCATTATTTAAAGGATTTAGACAAGGCTTCAGATTTGATCGGCTAACGTAGAATAAAAAACACCTTATAAAGTTAATTCATTGACTCAAATGAAAAGAGATCTAATTATTTAGTCAATTAGAATGACAATAACTTTGTCAAAGTTTTTTTTTCATCAGCAAATAAAAACAAGACCAAAATACTGCAAAAAGACACAGCGCTAACTATTATTACAAAATTATTAATTTTGCACTTAACTGTAGAGACCTTTCTCTATAATTTCATGTTTTCACCAATTCAACTTTGCTCTAAATGTGGTCTAAAGGGGCAAAGCATCTTGGAGGAGTAGCTTTCTCTACCTGTTGGGAAGTAGGTGGTCTGGTGGTTGGGGCATTGCACTTGGAATCCAGAGGTTCTGAGTTCAAGCCCCACTCCCACGGACTGCCACTCTGGGTCCCTGAGCAAAGACCCTTAATTACAGAGAGTCCAGTCTTTATAGTCTACAGACTTCAGCTCTGCAGGAAATCTGTGAGCATTCAAGAAACAGAAGACAGGGGAAAAATACTTCTAGAGATGATTTTAAAGAACTTGACTAACAGCTGCAAAATGTCTTTCATGGGAAGTTTGGCACCTAAACCAAGCTGAGCTCATGCTTTTGTTTTATTTAGGTCAAAATTCTCTACTTGCAAATTGAAACTAATACAATAGTTGTTTCCCCCACTGCAATAACGTTTGCGTAAATCTATTATTTCTATTTTAAAAATGCTGCTTAGCTACAACAGATGATGATTCTCAGAAAAGGAGAAATCATGATGGCATCAGAATGTCTCTTAGTTATAAATAATTGGACATTTCATAGCCAAAGATTACAAATCACTTATAAACGATAAAAAAAACAACAGAAAAACAAAAAAAACAACTGCAAGATAAGGAAAACAGGAGTTTTGTTTAGATATTGACAGTAAAACAGCAGTTGTTAAGAATGCACCGGTGCTAGGCATACTGGTTTCATAGGAATGTGGACGTGAACAGTTGATGTGCCTTGATGACTTACAGTGCATGGTTTGTGTTTTTGGTTTCTATTTGTGAAATCCCACTGCCTCATCTTTTCTATTTATATAATTACAGTTAACCTGTAAACAGTGTGTGACTCTTTGAGTGAAAATCACTTGATGAACAAAAGTTGACGTTTCCCCGGCCTTACTTATGTTCGAGCGACAAATTTAAGTCTCTTTGATGAGCTGAAGAGTTTTGTTCCAAAGGTTTTTTTTTTTTTTTACCAAATCCGTCTCAAAACCAAATGTTCTTAGTTCAAACTGAGACCTTATATGAGAACTCATGAATTACTTAACTTTTAGCTTCTTTTCTTTTTTTTTCTGCTGACTAATCTGAATATTTTGGTTCAGTGCTTCTGCCTTCTTTAGCAAACACAGTTAAAGTTAAGACGAAGGAAACTAAAATAGATTTAGCAGCAAATAGAGTTACAGCTCTGATAAAATTAAAGTACACCCCCTTCTAGGTTTTTATTTAGCAGGCTTTCTGAAACAGGATTTATACAGGAATGAGTAACTCTTATTTAATTCTTTTTAATGCTCTTTGAAATAATTTTAATGACATCAACAAGTGCTCATGACTCTCATATATACTCCGCAAAATCTTTTGTCATCTTTACCGTCGACAGGCTGCAGCCATGTCCCGTATTCCTCGTTTTCCAGCCAGTTTTGTGGAAATTTCTCATTCTCTAGCTTTATCTCCGCCTCGAGCTTCTTTCTCGAACATACAGCTTTACGATCAACTGGAAGCAGTTCCATGCAAATATATCGCAATATTTCTGACAAAATTGATTTTATAAACTTTTTTTAATAAGGCATTTTAAATGCCACGATAATCACATTTAATGAGTTTTAATGCCAATTAAGGCCTTAATTTAAAAAATAATCATTTAATGACTTTTAATATTTTTTTAATGACCTGCAGAAACCCTGTGAAAGCACATCGGATAACATGTATGTTTTGGGTTATCTTGGGTTCAAGCTGTGGTAAAAAAAAATGAAACACAACTTTTAAAGTAAAGTTAAAGTAGGCATAGACTTCAAACAGTTTAAAATGGCATTATAACTCCTCCCAGATTGATGTTCAACAACAGCTACTTCTCCTGGGTCATTGCTGATATCTTTCCATCTGTCCACAGGATATATTGACCATATTTTAAGAGCATATAATTTGCAGTCCTTGTTTCCATATTTTGTATATGTTTAATCTCTTTGAAACACGTGTTACTTTGTTTTAGTTGATTAGGAAAAAAATTTTTCTACCTAGATTTCAAAACCATGGAAACAGTAGATTTATTTTTTAACACAATACGTGAAACTATAAAAATGAAAAGAGGGTGCACTTTATCTTTTATCATGTCTGTATTTCAGCCTAGTAGTGAGATCCAGTAGAGAGCATGTATCAATTTGTTAATCTTAGTAAAGTATTTAAATGTACTTTATAAACACAGTTTAGTAATATACATTATCACATTGTTTTTAACTAATATTACATTTCTACATTTATCAGGTGAGACATGAATAGATTTAAAGACAAACAGAACTGTTTAATGTTGCTATGGAGATAGATCCCCCTCTCCTTTACCTCATTATTAAACAGACTTCCTCTGCTCTGATTGGTCAGCTCCGGTAACACGATCACTTGCCGTTAACATGATCACTTGCCGCTAGTTACGGCTCAGGTCTAAATAAGTGTGAGATGTGAATTATGGGTTTTAATTGGAGGAAAAGGTAGAAAGTTTCCCTGAGTGCAGGATGAGCCAGCAATGCTCTTTACTGCTTATCTGCAAAGTTTCAGCACAGCTTATTTAGTCCATAAGAGCAAAATAGTTGTGTTTAAAGTGACATAAGCTATTTACAGATTATTTACAAATATTTAAATGTTTAATTTCTTTCTATACAGACGTTCTAGCTGTAATCTGTCTACAGCTAGAGCATCACAGGCAGCCTCAACCTTTGCTTTGATTGGGTAACCTGCATCTAAAAATGTTAACAATTTTAAATTAAATGTACTTTAAAATTAGATAGAAAATTTGATCGGATTGTCATATTTTAAAGTACGCTCCTTTTCTCTTCATCTGCTTTTCTGGTTGAGCTGCTGACAGTTTTCATAAGGACACATTCAAAGACGTTTAGCAGCTATCACCAAAGCAAAAGGTAGGCTACATCTAACAGCGTTATGGATTATCCCACATTCTAAACAGATTTTGAAGCTAAGTTTGCCCCTTTGACATTTCACAGATTCTGTTTTTTTTCTTTACACACTTGGGTAGAAAAAAACAGGAAAAATAAGAGTTTTGTAAAGTTGCCAAGAAAATTTGATTTCATGCTCAATTTAAAGGAATTTCTTTCTTCAATTTTTGAGTTGGATAAAGTCTGATGCAAGAAAATTGAATTATGAGACGTCATTAAATAATATAAACCATAAGGAAGCCATTCAGAGTTATTCTGATTTCATTAGGGGTTATAATCTTTGCTCTAGGTCTGTTTACCCATTGATTCCTTAAACATGTTGCCATTTTGTCCTTCCTAATTCAGTTTTTCCCCCCATTAATCTTTTTTGTACCCATGTTATTAACTATTGCTGTTTATTAATCTGTTTATTTATCATGTTATATTTTATTAAACTGTGAAGATAATTAAAAATAAAAATGCACATGAATCTTTACATAGGAAGATTTTCTGAAGATTTTGTGCGCAGTGCTAAAACATTTCAGCTGGTTCAAACACGGATCCGATGTGGGAAATTTCTATGATTTTGTTTGCTTTTTCAAACTCAAAATTACTTGAGAAACTAATCATACATGCAGCAGACAAACACTTTCATCAAATCTGTATGTCTGCAGGTTTTAAATGGAAGTAGGTCCAATGGCTTTCCCATGGATTTAGAAGAAGCCTCCATGTGGTGGCCTTCTTGTTAGCAGCTGAAAGATCAGCTGCTTGGACAGAGAAGTTTTTTTGAAACTGGAAACACTTTGATTCTTGGCTTTTTAACTTAAACTGTATTGGTTAAATCAAATTTTGTTAAGGTAGATGAGGTATAACTGGGACAGGAATGTATAATACTTGTGTTTAGTTTGCCCTGTTCATGCTGAGGACTTAAGCAGAGTGAATTAGGGAGGATTATAGGATATATTTTATCATGACGATCATTGTGAATATAATAAATGAGTGTTTCCTGCATAGTAATAATTATAATTGATGATTCCAGCATTAAATGATTTCTAATTACTAATGGCACTTCATTTTTTTTTGTGGAAAAAAAAGTTGCCCCATATTGGTTAATTCTGGATTGAAGGAATTAAATAAACATGGCATAGTCTAATAAAAGTGACCCATAATCTGGGATGTAAAACAACCCATGTTCATGTATGAGCGCATACAGAAACACTTTCTGATAGAAGGACGTTTTAAACTCAGCTGGTCTGCACCAGCAGCAGGGAAGTAATTAGTTTTACTTAGGAAAATATCTGGGGCACGGGGCAGCAGATAATCAAGAAAAAGCATCTATCAGCGTTGAAAGACTGCACTAATGTGTTAGTTCCTTTCATTATTAGCTCTGTGACTCACAAGGAGTCAAAACGGCCATTAAAGGACGACCCCATCAAACGTGAAGACACGGCTATGCTCAAACCAACTAATCCACTCCCATTTATTTAATCCACAGAAATGTATACTTTACGATAATTGTTCCTTCCTTAGGAACGTCTTATTTGAAACTCTCCATTTGGTTGATGTTATTGAGAGCTGTAAAAACAATATAAATAAACAGCCTGAATTGATTACTGTGGAACGAAACTCTTCAGGTAGAAGTAAGGAATGTATTTAACCTTCCATTGAAAGAACAACAATGGAACTGAGCTGAGAACAGGGGAGGAAAGTGCGAAAAAAAACAAACACTGAAAAAACAAAAGTATCAACACATTTCTAAACATTTAACAACTTGGTTTCTGCCTTTGGTGTCCACTGGGAATCCATCCCAGTGGACACATCCCAGTGGAAACCGTGCGTCACAGGATTTAATGGAAAATGATTGCTAAATTAAATTATGCAGGCAGGAATACACTAGGCGCTTTTTCTACAGAAAGCCAATATTAAACCGGGCGGTGTGCTGTACATTCACACTGAAACTCCAGGTCATACAGATCATTTCGCTGATCTTTTGATCCACTAACCTTTAATAATGCAAAGTCTGCAATGTTGTTCTCCCCTAGTCCCCATCCATTTTCTCCAGAAAGTCTTTATAATGTCCCCCCTGAGGTTTAGAGGACCAACGCAGAGTCTCTTTGTCCCCGCTCAGAGAGTCTACTTCACTGAGGTGGTGAGAAATGTGGACAGTGACAGCTGGAGGGTTTGTCCCAGTATGCAGGATAAAGCTGGTTTCCTGTTTCATAGCGAAGTGGACTGCTTGATGCTGTGAAAGCTGACACGTGAAGGTGAAGTTGGGATAGACATAGCCTGGGTCATCCTGGCCCGGATGGAGTGCTGCTCCTGCCACCGATGGAACCGCTTCCTTACAGCTGAGCGGACCTGTGAACAACATCAAAACCCAGAGCTAAAAAAACACACCACTCATTCTAGGTTGATGCAAAATCAACAAAAGAAAAACACCATTATTATCGACTGGGCTCTGGTTTTGAAAATTTATATTTTTATTTTGTTGTGTTAAATTTACTGCTCAGCGGAACAGTGGGTAGCTCTGCTACCTTGCAGCAAGAAGGTTCCGGGTTCCTCAATTTCTGCATGGAGTTTGCATGTTCTACCTGTGCATGTGTAGGTTCTCTCTGGGTACTCCAGCTTCCTCCCAAAGTCCAAAAACATGACTGTTAGGTTAAGTGGCTTCCTGAGTGTGTGTGAATGGTTGTTTGTTTCTGTGTTGCCCTGTGATGGACTGGCGACCTGTCCAGGATGTACCCCGCCTTTCCTCATTGACAGCTGGGGTCACCCCTCGTGTATCCAACAGGGATAAGTCAGAAGATGGATATAAATATTGACTTTAACTAAGGCGAGTGAGGCCTGCTGAGCTTTGTTGTTCTGGGTTCTTCTGTTACCTTTCGGAAGGTTTACCAATGCCAAGTTTTTTCCATTTCTAAATAATGACTGTCACTGTGTTTTACTTGACTCTTTAAACCTTAGAAATGAGGTGTGGCGCTGGTACAGGGATTAGGTGTGTGGTCATTGGTCGTTGATATGAACGTCAAAGATTTGCATCCTTAGAAACTTAGAAAGACTATGACACTTAGTCCGACAGGTACTTTTAAGTGATTTCTTTCAGTCAAAAGGTCTGGAAGGAATCAGGCATGGGTGCAGCCAGTCATTTGAGCTCATCTTCTGGACTAATTATCTCAGCTTCTCTACTAATTTACCTAATAAATGCTAAGTCATGATGTAACAAGTGGAGTTAATTACTTTCACATGTAGGGTCAGGCTTTTTTCCCTTTAATATCAGAAAACTACTGTGATTATCTTTGTCTTGTGAGGTTTTTCTATGGTTTCCAACTGTTTACTACCTGTTTTATTGTGTTTTTATCTTCATTTACCTTTATTTTTCATCTATTTTATTGTCTTTTTGTTTATAGCACTTTGAATTGTCCTTGTACTGAATTGTGCTATACAAATAAACTCTCCTCGCCTTGCCTAACATGAGCCCTACTGGCGTAACTCCCAATGAAAGAGGTTCGTTCTTCTGGCACATGTAAAAGTTGATGCTAAAATAAACAAGTTAATTTCAGCAGTGGAAAGTTAGGAACCCAAATTGAACACCTTTATCCTTCGGCTGTTGCAGTGGACTGTATGGTACTTTACCTAAATGACAAGGGAAACTGGTAAAAACAAAAAACTCGAGAATCTAGATCTAAAAAGTACCAGACAAATAAAATGTGTTTATCAGAAATGTGGGTTATTTCTCATCACCCCCCCACGAGTGCATTAATCTAAAATAACACTTGGCTTTCGGCCTGAAATAAGATGATTCAATCCTCTGCATATTCTTTAGCTAAATGTTTTCCTTTTCTCTTGAATGTGACTGCAGGCATCCTTTGTTCATCTCTTGCACTCCTCCCCACTGCTTTCCCTGCAAGCCTCAGCCTGTAACAAAATCCTAAATCAATATCCTCTGGAAGCTGCACATGCTGGTTAAGCCCTTTGTTTGGGAGCTACATGGCAGTTCATGATGAGATATTCCTTCATCATCCAGCGAGCGATCACGCAGAGAGGATGGGTAACTGAAGGGGAGCAGATATTACATTCACATGCTGCTTGAGGAATAACTTGTAATGATTAATCTGTTTTGCTCGGTGCAGAGGCCAGACCGAGCCGGATCTTTCAGTCTGGGGTTTACCTTCACGGCTGGTTTGAGGCTCAGCTGAAGTCATTAAGGTCCGGTTAGGTGTGAGGGTATCGATTGTATCTTTGGAGAACACAATTAGATTTGTCATACCATGCTTTTTCATCTGATTTAAATGCAACAGAAGGCCTAAATTGATTTAAATCTTATTGTGTAATTTTTCATAACTCAAAAGACTCCAAACACTTTTTAAAGCCTTTTTTTCCCATAATAATATGATGATTTATTTTGCAGAAATGGCCGCCTGAAGGTGAACTGAGTTTTTAATCCTTCACAGTTCTACAAAGTTCTAATCTCTTCTAATCAAAGTTCATTTAGTTTAATTTATTTAACAAATTTTACAATGAACAAATATTTAAGGAAAATGAGAACATAATAAAGCAGCATCTGAGGCTTTTTCATAAATCTGGTAATCTCAATATGTAATATCTATTTAATTAACTAAAGATTATATATACAATTAATGTAAATAAAGCCACTTTAAACAATTATTTAAATACTAAACAAAAAAAATTGAAAAAAAGGCTTTTGAAGTCATTTTTAAACCATATAAAGAAATTAAAAAAATCATCCTAAGTTAAAAGATTCCTAAGTTAAAAATAATATGTTTTAATTTCTTATAGAACTTTTTTTACATATTAGAATAAGTGATTGTTTTTGTTTATTTGATTAAACTTGATTTTTACCATCAAAATATACATATCTTTAAAAGTTATAAATAATAATATCTTGTCCTGTCCTCCGATAACACTCTTAGCTTAAAATGTGGATTTTGAAAGTATTTCACTGAGAGTCCAATAAGGGGTTAAATAAGAGCCCAGACAATGCAGAACATTTTTTTTTTTGACTCAGTGTGAAATTCATTTTGAGTATTACCATCATCTTTTTTTCCATTGTGAAGTTAAAGGTGACATATACCATTTCTTTGCTTTCTTACTGGGTCAAATCACGGGGCATTGATGTGCAGTCAGTGGGGGTTTCTCTGAGGATTTTTTAGTTCTTCTCTATAGGATATTTTATTGTCTGCTTATCATATGTGCAGTCTGATTCAGCTTCTCAACAAAATTCATCAAAGTTACAGATTGACATTATGGGCTCTTGATTCTGACTGCATAATCTGGTTGAATTGTATCTTTAAATTGCCTTGAGATGACATTTGTTTTGAATCAGCGCTATATAAATAAACTGAAATTATTCTTGATTGATTAACCATCAGAAAGAGACTTCATAATTTAAATAATAGTGTAAAATGTTTAAAGGAAAACTTTGGTCTAGAACTAACATTTCAAGTTGAGACTAAGGTTTAACATATTACAAGACTTTTAGACCAATGTTTTTTTAGACAGATTATTCTAAAATGTTGTTATTTGGAGGGCTGATCAGTGGAGCTGTGGGTAGCACAGCTGCCTTGTAGCAAGAAGCTTCTGGGTTTGATTCCCTGCCCAGGGTCTTTCTGCATGGAGCTTGCATGTTCTCCCTCAGCATGTGTGGGTTCTCTCTGGGTACTCTGGCTTCCTCCCACAGTTGACTGTTAGGTTAATTGGCTTCTCTACAGTCCCCTTAGATATGAATATGTACGTGAATGGCTGTTTGTCCTTTTTGTCTCTGTGTTGCCCTGCGATAGACTGGCGAGTACCCCGCCTCTTGCCCGTAGACAGCTGGAGATAGGCACCAGCACCCCTCGCGACCCCACTTGGGATAAGCATGTAAGAAAATGGATGGATGGATGTTATTTGGAAACCCTCTGAATGTCACAGTCAGGTGAGTGAGCCATGAGTGGGCCTACTTCTGGAGCCCATTCAAGGTTTAACCTGCTGTCAAGGTCGCAATTTATCTTTGTCAAGCCGCTCTTTGTCAACCTGAGATGTCTTTTTGTGTAAAACAAGAGATCAGCAGTTTTTGAAATATTCAGATACATTCAAAGTGTTCTCCTTTTCTTCTATGTTTTTCCTGCTTCATTTGGGCTTCTGCTATAATTTAATTTACATAGAAGGGGCTCTTTGTTTGTCTGATTTACTATGTGTATTCAGCAAAATTATTATAAAAATTTGTTTTTTCCAGCAATTATCCAACCCTCAGAAATGATTATATCATTACTCATAAGGACATTAGGAAAAATAAATGCACTACCCCGAGAAGACCTGGATTTACCTCAGATAAATCCAAGTCTTCTTCTGCATCCCAATCACATAGTCTGGTTTAATTTCAACATTCTGCAGAAAACTGATTTGCGAAAATGTAAACAACACTAATTATTTAAACAACTTGAAAAAATATAAAACAGCATTTCCTTCTTGCACGTTCTTTCCAGCTCTATTTTGAGACGGTTTTAACCGTGATTTCCCCCAGGACCAAATTAGGGCTGACAGTGTCATACAGCGTAGAAAGTGATGTCACTTATGTCGGCACATCACAGGGCTTAATTGTGCCCTAAATACATTCTCCTCAAGCTTCGAAAACATGCAGCACAACAGCCACAGAAAGCTGAGAGGGAACGCTGGAGGAGAGGGAATATGATTAGGCATCCGCATCAGGGAAGGGGTTTAAAACACTGAAATGTTAAATCAATAAGCTAGAGTAAATCTGCTTACCTCACTGTTTAGGAAGCAGTAAAACACTGACACGAAGAAGCCCTGCAGAGAGGAACGGGGAGATAAAGTGAGAACAAAACATCATCATCAATGCCCTGATGCTGGTTATATCACTAATACAGCTGATTATGTTGAACATTTAATCATCATGTTTTTGTTTTTTTTTAGCACTCATTATAATAGCATTACAATAAATCAGACAAATGATAAAGCCACCCACATAGAGATGCCATTATACTCGGTTTGTGCCTGATTAATTTCAGGATAAATCCTACCTGAAAGGACTCCAAAAACGAGTTGAAATATATAAAGACGATTTGAGAAATTTCATCCTCCCCTGGGTTGACAAAAAACAGCATGTAGGTGATTCCCAGGAGAGGAAGGAGTACCAGCGTCGCCTTCACGGCTTTCCTGCAGACGAGGAGAACGTAGATCAGACAGCCGTGACAGAAAGACTCGGCTCAGTGTTTCACTTCACGCTAAAAGGCCCTTCAGGGTCCAGGCTTCAGCGATGGAGGACAAAATGAATAATTCAAGCCTGTTTATTGGAGTTTCAGCAGCAGGTTTACAAGAAATTTACCTGTACTGGATTGTCTCGGATGTTGTAGAAGCTCGCAGTTTGGTCATCAGGATTCTCACAATGTTGAAAAGGAAGATGAAATTAATCTGATGGGAAATCAAAGAAAGCCCCATTAAGATAAAAAAAAATCAGCATTTCATTGCTCTTAAAACCAATACTGCTTTTATGTTATCAGTAAAGTTTTTTTGTTTTTAACTTTCTATGTGCAGCTAAAAGACATTAGTCTTAAAACTTTTTGCTACATTTACCAAAAAAAAAAAAAAAAAAATGTAAGAAAAATTCGATTAACTTTGGAGGAAATTTGGGAAAATCCTGGCTTAATTGGAAAAAAAAATGCAACAAGTCTGTACTGAAACCCTATTAGTGGTGGTGATGTTATAAGCATGAAGATGGGCACCAAAACAAATTGTGCTAAAGGCCCCATGCTACCTCTGACCAACCCTGCTCTGCTTAGAGGCTACTTTCCTACATGTTTAATGTAGAGCTCTAGGCTCTTTATCTACTTTTTGCGGAAAAGTCTTGCTATTTAATGTAAATCTATGTCAGTTACAGACAGAGCATAAAACGAATCCTTCCTAAAGTCAATAACTACTTGTGCCATGTAGTTTGAGAGGGAAAGATCACCATACAAACTGAAATCTAATTTTTCTGAAAATTTGTGCATTTTTTCTTGAATTGGGCTGGTAAGTGAGATATGCTGGCAATGGAATAAGACAATTTAAATTTAAAATATGAGAAAACAACCACAGTCTCTTGTTTCACATGCATAATATCTAAAGTAATCATCTTATTTTAAGGGTTAAAATACTCATTCCATTGTCAGGTCATCTTATTTACATACTCAAATTAAGCACAAAGCACTTATTCTAAGCAATGTGTACTCATAGAGTCTTGAGATATTCAGATACTAATGATTAAAAATAAAGCCGGTTTTTGCCCATACCAAAGCCAGAAGTTTGATGTCACTCTGGGAGATCGGCTAACCAACATGGTGGTTATACATACTGAAACGGAGAGTGATGGCAACGAAAATACATATGAACCTTTGTGAAGTGAGTAATTTCTTTAGCTCCTGTTAGGCGGGAGCCAATCACCAGGTGTGACGTTTATGTTTTAGTGGCTGTAGCTGAAGCATGCGGTTGCTATGGTGTGTTTCTATGGCTGAACGATCTGCTAATTTTTTTTTTTTCCATTTGTTAATTATAACTGTCCTGGCTGTGAAAATAATGATAGCACTGTTCCTGTTATTAACTTACTTTTTATCCCATCTTTAAAAAAGATCTTACTTGCATCTGTATTCATATTGTGCATACCAAGAACCAGAACCGGAACAATGAAGACAACTCCATGTTTGGTTTTTGGACTTCAAATGCAAACTCCATGTGTGCATTTTGTACTATACTTCACTAATAAAGAATAGCAAACTTCCAGAAGACACTAAAGGTACTAAAGGCCCAAGATGCTTTAAGGCTAAAAACCCTTTTTTTTAGGGTTCCCTTTAACTGTTCTAATTTAAAGTGAAACTTCAGTAGATTCAGTTTGTAGTGAAACTGGTCTTTGCTTTCTCTTCTTAAGTTCTATTTCTGTTCCCCACTTAGTGTTATTCTGTTACTAAAATTTTAAATTACACATTGTACAATCCTCTCACTAATTAGATAAAAACAGATGTTTGTTCACCTTGACCATCAGTTTCAGTCTTACTCTGGAGCAGGATTTTAATCAATTTATCAGTAGCTTGAGACATTGCAGGCGTTTCTGTGCAGAGGTATGTGAGCCATCTTGTGCTACTTTCCTTAATAATCTGACATTTAAACTTTTCCCTAACATGTAGATTTTGTATTTCAACTTCAGTCTGAGGAATACGGTGCTTTCTTTAAAATCCTGAGGGCCGCAAAGTCAACCCTAAGTGCAAGTGTGAGATATTCCTCCTTGTTAACAGTTCTTTAAGAAGAATTCAAAGCATATCCACTTCTATGTAAAAGGAAACCCAAATAGAGCAAACTGATTATTCATGCTAAGTATGAAATCCTCACAGTATAAACCTAATCTTAACACCATTGACTCACAGTTTTACTGTCTTAGGACTAAATAAAAACAAAGTAGATATTTAATTTTTTACAAATATAATAATAAGAAACTGATATTAGCTGCTTCAATGGTTAAGCTCTTTCTTCTGGTAAGCAGTCTCCGGCTAGTTGCTTAATAGACTTTATGCTGTTTTTATCTCTGGGTCTTTTTCACAAGATCAGATCAACAAACGGAATGGTGCAATTGGCGTAAGGACAATATATGTCCTATCTGAACATTTAACTTTAACTTTTTAACAGTAAAATATTGTCATGAAAATGAATAATCTGATCCTGCAGGACTTTTCAGGGCTTGAGGATGGTGTCCCAGCAGGGCCGGTTCTAGCCCTTTGGTTGCCCTAGGCGAGATTGAGTTTTGCGCCCCCCCCCACACACACACACACACACACACACCCCACCCCCCACTGTTCCAGTTCAATTAAATCATTTGAACATAAATACAAATGAGATAAACAAAATTTTCCTCTAAATAAAATATATCAGGTATATTTACCCTGATTTCTGACATTGATTAGTGATTAAAGAAAGGATTAACCCTCTACAAACAAAAGTGCTTTTATGAATACCATTACAAAATTAAAAGTTTGAAGTTGTTGTTTTTTTTTTGTTCACATATTCTATGATGTTTTTAACAGAACTGGTATTGCTTCTATTGCTTAACAAGTGAGCATAACAAAAACGTTTCTAGCCTTCAATAAACATGGCTAATGTAATAGGCCACTTCGAAATGACATAAAACTAACTAGAATATATTTTCACAATTGTTGATTGATGTATTGTCTACTGTCACTTTTCATCATGTTTTTAGTGATTAGGAAAATATTTAACAAATAAATAATTGTATTTTAAATTAAATGTAATTTTTAATAAATGTTGGCATCAGTAGTTTAATTATATATAGAGCAATATACAACTGTATTACTCATGTTTCTCGCCAAAAACAAAATTTCCCGTTTTCTTTACGTTACACTTGAACGCATCATGGTAACCTAATTGTCATTTTACTGAGCCAATCTGAACACATCATCACGCAGCACGTCTGAAACTTTATTTACTTTTTAAGCTAACTAGCTTGTATGCTGCCGATTACAAGACGGATTTCACAATTAATATTTTTAACTGACCGGACAAGCTACAAAGTCTGTGTGCGCTCACCAGTGGTACTCTGAGTGGATGATGAAGACGGGCCGACTGCGGCAGCAGCTGGAGGAGTCTTACTTTTAATATCTGTTTGCTTACAATTTCATTCCAAAATATTGGTGTACGTGCTGCAGTGATTGACGTCACGACTTCCGGGTTGGAGAGCGCTTGAAAAGTGATCAGAATCTTCTCCGATTTTCTCTTAAATGTGAAAAAAAAAATAAAAAAACGGTGGTATATTTATTTGTTCATATTGTACTATTTATATATACGTAAGGTTAAGTCAAACTGACCGACGCTTCATAACCGGTTTAATTCGCTTTTTTTTCTAATTCTATGATTAATGGGAAGTAAGCCTAAGGGCGACGCTAGAGGGCGCCCCCCAACACATTTGTCGCCCTAGGCAATTGCCTATCTCGCCTATAGCAATCGCCGGCCCTGTGTCCCAGTATAATTACATCGTTGAGGTATGTGTCTCCTGATGTTAAGGTGTCTCCACCACAATAAGGTGTTGAGCCCCTTAAGGGTTTGAACAGGTGGGGAAATGTAAAATTATTCATTGGGTACATTGTGATGAAAGATAAAGAAAGTAGCTGGTGAATCTAAAGTGCTACTTGAGATTATCTTTCCACTACGTGATGAATGACAAACTCAGTACTTCATGCAAGAGGTGGGGATGATGTAACAGAGAGGGAAAAAAAGCCACAGGAATACTTTACACTGCCAGATGACCCGACCTTGGCAGGAAGAGATGTATGGCAGTCTTTGCAGAGCCACACTTTCTGTTGACCTGCTGCTGATGTTAACAGTTTTAATAGCATCCTGAATTAATTCATTGTAACAGGACCTCATTTCAGTGCTGATAATAAAAGCTGTTCAGAGTTCCCAACCCCCTCACAGGAGAGACCACAAATATTCTGGTGACCCGGTGATGATCCTAAGGGATCAAGTGCTTGGCAAAGACACAAAAAGCCTGGGAGAAAGCACCATTGTAAGCAAGACTGGAGATTTTCCAAGAGAAGCGGCAGAAAGAGAGATTGAAAGAGGCAGATGTTTGCCTGAGGAGAGACAGAAACAGTTCAGAGAAGTGCCTCTTAAAGAGATGATTTTTTTTTCAGTTAAGGGGAGAAGATTTGGGAAGGTCACTCCACCAGTGGATTGCTGGCAGGGACATTCTGACTGAAACTCAACAGGGACATGACCAAACTGTCGCAGTCGGATGAGATCTGGAACAAAGAGTAGTCTCTGTGGGAGACCACGTGGACAGATGTTACAATCCCTAAAGGAAGTGCTCACATCATTATGAACTACTGTATTTTTTAAGCATAACACATTTTAATACTGGCTATTTACATACACGGACATTATAAATATCTTATGGACTTTGCTGGATTCTAAGTTTTTTAATTTAACCTTGTGTTAATAAAAAACAAAAACAAAAAAAACAATTTATCTATAAGGTAAAGCTGTTAGGTGCTCTTGATTAAATCCTGAACATAAAGCCAAGCAGCAGAGACATAAGCAATGACCTTAGAAAAGACGTTGCTGCTTTTAGTCATGGTTACAAAGTATTTCCGACCAATTGAAATCCATCATTTGACAAGGAGGAAAATTATTCACAGATGGGAAACATTTCTGCTGCAAATGTGATCAAGAATGGATGTTCCAACAAATCACCCCAAGGTCAGATAATTTAATGCTTAAAAATGGTAAAATACCCAAGAGTTCCCTTTTAAAGCCCCACAGTTATCATTTTGAATGTTAAGGTTCAAGAGAAAGCAGTATGAAAAATTACACCACTATGGCTTACATGGAATGGATTAAGGAATGCAAATCTGAAAGGTTTCGACTGATTAACC